TCAGTGCAAGGCGTTCAACCTGAATGTTTGTGAATGGAAAGGGAATGTGTAGATTGAAATCCCTACCAGCCCATGTTATATATTTTTTCTTGCAAACATACTCGTATTTTTCCTCTAACTATGAAATATGAATATTGTTTATTAAGTTGTTTAAAGTAGTCGTTAAAGAGAATAGCCTGCAAACTTGATGACCGCCTGCTCTCTCACACACTGGAGAAAGATAAGTGTTATGTTATTACATTTCCAATATGAAAACGAAAAAAACCAACATGTGGTAAAACGTGGTCATGGGTGCTTTTAGAGAAATTAAATTATGACTTAGACCCCATTCCCATACCTGATCGATCTAGCAGGATTGACCCATCTTAGAGGGGTTTCTCGCTAAATTACATTCAGCTTAGTGGCTTAGATGTCTGACACGCCTATTGAAGCTTCTAAACGACAGTTAATTACTTCCTAACAGCTTCAGTAGGCGAGCCAGACATCACAGCCGCTTAAGCTAAATGCAATTTAGTGAGAAACCCCTTGGAGGTGGGTCGATCATGCTAGATCGATCTAGGTATGGGAACGGGCTCTTAGTTTAGCCCAAGAGAGGTGGTAATAAGGGTTAAATCTGCCCCATCGGCAACTTCAGTCTGGTTTTGAGGATGAGAGTACCTATGACGCACTGTTTGGTTTCTGTTGGTTTGTACATAGTAGACCTAGTCCTAGATTTTGACCCATTCAGGTCATACTGTCCCTAACCTGTATGAATCCAATTGGAGGACAGACACTCTGTAATATGCATATTTCCCCCTCCCCCGTTCTTTAAACCAACCCATTGTAAATCATGAAGCTGTATGTCGATCAAAATGACGTCATTTATCTGATAAATCATTTATATATACATGATTCTAATATACTAAAGTTATACAAATATCTATATTGCCGAGCAATTTCATTCAAATAGCCGTTGGTTGGTTTTCAAACTTACCTTCTAACATTATAATAGCAAATGTAAATTTTAAAAGAATCCAACAGGCAGATTTGTTTAGAAAAGGGATATTTATGCATTTTCAGAATGGCTTGTTAAAATCAAGCTGTTTAAAGAAAAGATTAATATCTCTAATCATGAACGGTTTCATATAAAATTACGTAAAAATTCCCCTCGTTTTGTTTTCACTGTAAGTAACAGCGGTACGTGAAGTGTTCTATGAAGAGGGATAGACAGCAACACCTTCTCCCACTCCACTTAGGGCAGAAGGCAAGGAGTTACGCAGATGAGTGGCCTCTTTAGCGCTTCTGCACCCCATGAAGAGCATAAAGTGTTCACATAAAGCGTTTCACATTTGGAAAATGTTCGAGGTGAAGGGCATTTCATGGAATTTGATATATTTTATATATGACAGGGGCGGATCCAGAGATATTTTCTGACAGCATTCTAAATTAATTTTTTTGATCGATCCTCCTTTTTTGACCATCTTCCGACAGAAGAAATAAGATTAGAGATATTAATGTTAACCGTCTTTTGGAAGACCAGAAGACTGCCTCCATCTGCCTCTGTATGATGTGCGTTTCTATAATTCAAAATAGTCTACCTCCACAATAATAATATNTAAAAAAAGGTGATAAATATAATAGAACAAAATTACGGCGGGATAAATGGAGTATAGACTAAACACTTTAATAAAAACAAGATTAATTTCCACACTGTAATCTTGAATAATAATCTTCAAAACGATTATTTGTTATTAGAATATGGAGTTAAGAAAAATCTGGAACACAATTAAATAAGTTAATAAATGTTTATATATCTAAGTGATAAGTATTGCTTGATCACAAAATGAGTGCACTTCTGCCCCGGAAACAATATCAACCAAGTGAATATACTGATTATACTAAATCTGTTGGAATAACTTTTTGTCCTCTTTTGTAAGGCTTTCGATCTGCTGATTTCTTATTATTAGTGTATCGCACGGTTTTGTTTGCTTTTGACACAGAGCGACGCAACAGTTTGCAAATTACTTTGCCCCATTTTGACACTGTTTTGACACAAAATATTTTTATATTTAATCAAGCGAACTTTATTATGTATCTTCAGCGTCAGTGCAAGGCGTTCAACCTGAATGTTTGTGAATGGAAAGGGAATGTGTAGATTGAAATCCCTACCAGCCCATGTTATATATTTTTTCTTGCAAACATACTCGTATTTTTCCTCTAACTATGAAATACTTTATGTAGAAGTACTTATACTTTAGTTTTGTAATTTGTTTATTAAGTTGTTTAAAGTAGTCGTTAAAGAGAATAGCCTGCAAACTTGATGACCGCCTGCTCTCTCACACACTGGAGAAAGATAAGTGTTATGTTATTACATTTCCAATATGAAAACGAAAAAAACCAACATGTGGTAAAACGTGGTCATGGGTGCTTTTAGAGAAATTAAATTATGACTTAGACCCCATTCCCATACCTGATCGATCTAGCAGGATTGACCCATCTTAGAGGGGTTTCTCGCTAAATTACATTCAGCTTAGTGGCTTAGTTGTCTGACACGCCTATTGAAGCTTCTAAACGACAGTTAATTACTTCCTAACAGCTTCAGTAGGCGAACCAGACATTACAGCCGCTTAAGCTAAATGCAATTTAGTGAGAAACCCCTTGGAGGTGGGTCGATCATGCTAGATCGATCTAGGTATGGGAACGGGCTCTTAGTTTAGCCCAAGAGAGGTGGTAATAAGGGTTAAATCTGCCCCATCGGCAATTTCAGTCTGGTTTTGAGGATGAGAGTACCTATGACGCTCTGTTTGGTTTCTGTTGGTTTGTTCAGGTAGACCTAGTCCTAGATTTTGACCCATTCAGGTCATACTGTCCCTAACCTGTATGGATCCAATTGGAGGACAGACACTCTGTAATATGCATATTTCCCCCTCCCCCGTTCTTTAAACCAACCCATCGTAAATCATGAAGCTTTATGTCGATCAAAATGACGTAATTTATCTGATAAATCATTTATATATACATGATTCTAATATACTAAAGTTATACAAATATCTATATTGCCGAGCAATTTCATTCAAATAGCCGTTGGTTGGTTTTCAAACTTACCTTCTAACATTATAATAGCAAATGTAAATTTTAAAAGAATCCAACAGGCAGATTTGTTTAGAAAAGGGATATTTATGCATTTTCAGAATGGCTTGTTAAAATCAAGCTGTTTAAAGAAAAGATTAATATCTCTAATCATGAACAGTTTCATATAAAATTACGTAAAAATTCCCCTCGTTTTGTTTTCACTGTAAGTAACAGCGGTACGTGAAGTGTTCTATGAAGAGGGATAGACAGCAACACCTTCTCCCACTCCACTTAGGGCAGAAGGCAAGGAGTTACGCAGATGAGTGGCCTCTTTAGCGCTTCTGCACCCCATGAAGAGCATAAAGTGTTCACATAAAGCGTTTCACATTTGGAAAATGTTCGAAGTGAAGGGCATTTCATGGAATTTGATATATTTTATATATGACAGGGGCGGATCCAGAGATATTTTCTGACAGCATTCTAAATTAATTTTTTTGATCGATCCTCCTTTTTTGACCATCTTCCGACAGAAGAAATAAGATTAGAGATATTAATGTTAACCGTCTTTTGGAAGACCAGAAGACTGCCTCCATCTGCCTCTGTATGATGTGCGTGTTTCTATAATTCAAAATAGTCTACCTTCACAATAATAATGTTAATTATAATAATAATTACTATGCACAAGTAATTCTTTATTCATGAACAATTTATTCGCTATTTGTCCATGCTGAATGTAACATGAAGTGCGTAAATGTATGACATCATAACAAACGTAGGTTCATTACAAGGCAGAAGAGTGCTATTAAAGAACGGTGTGTCAAAACAACATCTAAGTGCAAAATATGGGTTGGGTCAAAAGTTATTGTTGCCCAGACCACCTTAGTCGTTTGTTTGAGATACTGAGAGCTGCTAGAGGTTGATAACCCTTGAAAATTTATCCACGGCAACAAAGTTCTGTTTCTATTTGGAATTAAACGCACACAGCCGTTTCACACATCACACTTGCACATATATTCGTCTGGACTCATTCAGGTTCAAAGAATCTTTCATTGAAAGTTCTTTCATTTCAGCGAACTCTATCTCGATATATTTGTATAAACACAATGCTAAAGTAACTCTTTCTCCAACAGTTTGAGTTGTCACAAAAGATGCAAAACGTTTTACATGTCGCTGTAATATTTCAATCCCGAAGACAAATGCAATCCACTCCAAGTGTGTGTGTTAAGCTTTGTTGCGCGTGTAATGAACGTCTGGCTCCATTACGTATTTTTATTTATTTGGTTTATATGTTATTATAGTCAGAGATTGCACGCGCTAGGATATGAGATTTGGGCCTCGCGAAGTCCAGAAGTTCAAAGTTCCCCCCAAAAAGCTTATATTTCTACACACACAATGTCCATCAATTTCGCCCAGGGATAAACAAAATAGCCACGTTGTAGTTTGAAGATGATCGATCTGTCCTTTTAAACGTAAACGCCTTCGTAAACTCCGTATTATCACCGACGCGAGTTTTGACTCCAAGTAAAGTCAAAGTAAACAAAAATATGGTTTGGCAGTTATACTGAGCAACATGTGACGGGTGGTGATGGAAACAGCCATAGTGAAGGTGATGAAGGTGTCTGTTTAAAGCACAATATGCATATAATCGTACCTCTACCAGGGCCACAGATTGATGATATTTAAAGATATGGTTAATTCATGGCTCTTTTTCTGCGTTGGAGAAAAACCACACATAATAAATCTGCGGCCCTGGTAGAAGGTTATCGTAGGGCATGAAAAACAAGATTAAGGTGGGCGGTCAAGAATACCTGGAACACTGAGAGATGGCAAAACATGGTACACCTGTCCATAATTTGATACTGAAATCGTAAATAGGAAAATGACAAGCTCTCATTGTATCTAAAAGATAAAAGAACAAACAAACAAAAGAAGATACAGAAATAATTGGCTTCCACCGATTTTAATCAAAACTTTCCAGCAGAAAAAAAGTTGGATGGAATATATTGAAAATTTTTGACTTAGAAACTAGTTTCACGCAGATGTCAAACTTGCAAAATACTATCTCAATAAACGGTGAAAAACATCTGAATAAATAAACAAAAATTCGGTTGAAATAATCACTGCATGGACACCAACAGTAAAAGATCATTCTGATATTCTTTATCATACATAAATATTCTCAACTGATAACTAGGCATCTTTCTGTACTGCTACTTCAGGCTGTCTTTCTTGTACATTTGTGGACCATCCATACATGACAGACAAGTTCTTTCAACAATCCCCGTTCATTTCCACATAATAATCTTTTCAAGAACACTAGCCATGCATCCTTACACCATTAGCATAAGAGTGGCTATCTTGAAAGGTGTGAACTGCACAACAATATCAGGGTGGTCAAAACTGACCAGTGGGTAGAAGTCCACCTCTCCACGTGGTATGATACACTCCAAGGAATCACAGCTGGAAAAACAGATGATATGACACTTTCACACTTTCTTAGCTTCTGTATGAAATTTTGATTTTTATTATTAAAATAATAGCTACCAACATATTACTTGAAATAATTTTACATAGAAAATTGAAGACAAATTATAAAAGAAATACCAGTATACAATAGCATCAATCTGAAGGCTATTTCTATTAAACTGTGGATGGATGTCATTAATTGAATAAGCTGTTAAAAAAACCCAAAAAATAATAATCAGAAAAAGCAATGTCATTCTGTACTCACACATGAACCTCTGTGAAAGGGAGTGTGGTGGTGATGGTAGCTGTAGTAGTGCTTCCAAATGCCTCATACATACGAATGATGACCGAGTCATCCCCTTCTTCACCCTGCAGTGAAAGTACACAAAAATTTGTAAAAGTATGTTTTTACCAAGACATGAACATTGTGTAATTCATTTGCATGCATGAACTTCTATGATCTGTGGATCTTTATATGGCTATTCATCTAATTCTTTCAAGATGATTCTGTTGAAAGTTAAACAGGGAAATGGAAATAATTTGAAATTGGGTTGGGTAAAGGATTTCAATCAGATTCAGCATCTTAAGCTTATGTTAAATTTGCAAAATTAAATTACGCATGTATGGGAATGTAAAACAGATAATACATGATAATACATGTTTAATGTTACATCCAGTTTCAGCAATAGTGAAACAAAGATAACCACCTTTTTCACAGTCTCTAAAACAACAGCAGGGTTATCTACAGAAAAGTAGGATGCCATGCTATCAATGGTGGATGGCAGTTTGAGGTGATGCAGTTGCAATGGACAGTTCAAGTTGTATGCTTGCTGAATCACACCTGCTTCTTGGAATGTTCCTAAAAATACCAAGGAAGACCGATAAATGTTAAAATCATCCATGCAAAAATAAAATACCAACCAAAATCTATTTTATCACAAATATTAGTCTGTAATAAATATGATAATTTTTAGTAAGGAATGTTAGTCACTAACAATAAAATATACTTAAAAGATTTTCATGTATTAACACACATGCGCTTGCACACAAACATACGTGTGCACACACACACATGACACACACAGGACACACACACACACACACACACACACAGTGTAGACAAGCACCTGTATGTGGCATAAGGGCATAGGTAAAATAGTGCACTCCCATGTCAGCCTTTGGATCAGGGGCCTTGGGGGACCTCAGCCTGAAACATAAACAACACGTTATGGTAAAATCTTGAGAATTTCTTAGGTCTGAAAACTTCATCAGGATACAATTTGCCACAGATATATATATATATATATATATATATATATATATATATATATATAGAGAGAGAGAGAGAGAGAGAGAGAGAGAGAGAGAGAGAGAGAGAGAGAGATGACATACAACACGGTGCAATTCATATTTAAATATATCATCTCACTTAAAAAAATCTTGTCAACCTTTAAAGAAGATCAGAATACAAATATACAAGTACATATAGAAACAAAAAAAACAAATAATAGTTCACTTATGCCTCAGGAGTTACATGTCCTCTCCATCTATCTACAGTAGACTTACAGTGACAATCTCATGACATTGTCTCTGGCTGAGTACCCATACTTGCTGTCATTAAGGATAGCCAAGCCCCAGTCATGTTCTGAAATGTCTGCCCACTTGTGACCACACACCTACAACATAGATATGATATTAACATGGTTTGGTATGTAGCCTACCCATGTGATAAGGATGCACATTTTTGTGTACTGGGGATGGGGGGGGGGGTAGGGGGGAAGGCAACAATAGTCAAATTTTCAAGGGATTTAAATTACTAACCACAGGACTATATGGATGGATTTGTTCTCCAAATTCAGAAATTACCAATGACTATGAAATAAAAGAAACACCTGTGCTTGGCACTTAGGTTGAAGCAGGGATTAAGACCTTGGCCATATCTAGAGAGGTACATTTTTTTTCTCTTCATTTACACTGGCTAGACTGAGCTGGTGAAAATGTACAGAGATGAAAACAGTAATAACAATAATTCTATCAGTTACACAAATATACATACATCTTATCTAACTTTTCAATGCAGTGAAACGTATCTCAGTTTTGAGAGCAAACATACATAAAACACGATTGGATGAAAGATGAACTTGTACGGGTGGTAGCTTTGAAAGATAATTAATTCAAAGTGACAAACGTGCAGTACATATGTAACTGGAGCTGTAAATTTTCTACTATACCTCATATCTTGCCCAGTCCCACGAGGTGTTGAAATGTGTTGACCTCTGCAGATGCCCAAACTGAAGCTCATAGGTCACCTGCATGGCTCTCATGGCGACGGGAAACTCCACCTTCAGAAACTTGTGATTCTCGTGCCAGTGAACCTCTGTGCTGAACTTCATATATGGACAGTTCACATCCAAGGAGATTACCTGCTTCAGGTAGCTGTGATCACTTATCTTTAGAGATACCTAAAATGTGAATGAATTTTTTTATTATTTCAAATGTGCTTCACCAATAATGTAATAATATAATATATTCATCTTAAGTCTAAATTCCAAATCTGTTCAGTAGACTTTATAATAAGTATCATTATGAATAACAGTTTGACGCCTGATCATTGCTGAGTGCCAAGTGGGGAGGCAGCAGGTACCTATAAAAGACTGGTATATCCCAGGCTCGAACTCACTGCATTCCGCTCCAGAGGCAGACTCTCTAACCAAAAGGCCATCCAGTCAGTATATGTCTACATTAAGAGTTGGGTTATGGCCAATCTGAGTTTCAGAATTTACTGTAAACTAACCTTTATGATCTACTACATGTACATGTAGTATGCAAGTATGTCGAAACTTGAAGATTTAAAATTAGTATTTGAAAATATTTTCAGTTAAAATGTTATACAGGAAACAATTACCTCTACTGATGCTCTAAGAGGACCCTCTTCAACTATCATTGCATACTGAATTCCTTCTTCTACACACTTCCTATAAACAACAAAACATGGCCACAAGTCAACTTACTACTTCTAAGCAGAGTTTTTAGCGTCCGATATTATATGTCAATCAGTATTACAGTATAATACAGTGTTGTAAGGGACATTTGACATCATAGTATGTCGTTGTGTTGGAACAATCAATATGTAATAAACTGTATCAAATTGTGCTGCATGGCCCTTCACATTCCTTCTCAACTACCACAATGGTGGCAAAGCAGTACCTGGTTTCCAGGTGGTAGTCCATCACATCCCAGGCATCCCAAAACAGAGGCACATCGTCAAATATCACAATCTGGTTACCAAGGCCTTTAGAAAACACATTCCTTCAATAAATAAATAAATAAATGAATAAAATTAAAATAGTAATAATAAGTAAAATTAAGTTTTAAACAAAGCTGAAATTTGGCTCAAGAATATTCTTTCAATATGAGTCTCTATCTACAAGTTGTAACAGTTGATTTGCCAATCTGTAAAGAAAATTAAAATTATTACATCTGAAGAAATTATATTCCATAAAATAACCATACTAAACATTTGTTAATGTACATACAAATAGAAGTACACTGGTCAGTGGTATATATATATATATATATCTTACTTTTCTGTATTAGCTGCAGCCATATAGACCACTCTTCCCAAGGGATCAATGGCTGCTGACAGGTGCTCATTCTGAATGTAAATGAGCTGGTCATCCTAAAATGAGAATTTAAAAAAAATCCTTTTCAAATAAATGTCAAGGTAGGTAAATGGAGAGTAGTTTCTGAAAGAAAAAATCTCTATGAACCTAGGTTTTACTTGTTCATTATCATTAATTAAGAATTATAATCTGTCTAGTAAATTAAAACCCTTATGCTTTGTATATTACCTTCTTCTCTATGAAAACAGGTGTAATATCTGCCATTGCCAAGGGAAGGACAGCATGTCCCATACTTGGAACATCTACCAGTGCTAGATGGATGGAAATGTAATCATGTTTCAGACAATTATGTATTTCTACTTATCTTTTACTTTGGAAACAATAAACCATCATATAAAGAATGCAGATGAAAATTTCATATGCTAGGATGAGAAGACATACCAGCACTTCACCAAATAAAAATGTTTGCAACTTTACTGTAGCAGAGTGGATTGTCAGAAAATACTGAAAATAGACTTTTAACTAGGACAGTGCTAATAAAGCCCTCACCCAACACTTTCCCCTCAGGAGGGCTAATCTGTGTGATAGTAGATATGTCAGCTTTTGCCTTCTTCCTGGCTGGAGACTTGAGTTTATCATCAGCATTTGGGGGCAGGACAACCACCTCTTTTCTCTGCCAGCACAGTGGGTTGAATACTATGGCTGTCTGGACAAAGTCCTGGCAGGGGAGAAAAATATGGTATACAGAAAATAATTATCATGATAGAACTAATGTTTAACCATGGATTTAAGAGGGTATTATGGCTTACTGGCCAAAAAGGTGAATGTAAAATGAATTCCTGGGGAATTTTAATTTAACTGAGTAGTAATACAGAGCTATGCCATGATTAAGTGGATTAGGTCTATGCAGATGTTTTATAAAACAAAAACATCACTTTCAGTTGGGACTTATAATACTGTACAAATACTGAATCCTAGATTTCATGATCTGATTACAGTTATACTGGAATTGAACACTAACATTTGTATCCTTTGCCTGTTGGGTCAACAAATCCTGCAGTCCATTGACCAGAATCTTCTTACCACTTGTCTCGATATCTGGAACATGATGTTGTCATAGTGACCATTTTCTTTGAGAACAGATAATGGATGCTTTAAGTGTGATCTAGACATTGTCAATATCCCAGGATATATTGTGTTCAATCAGTTAATGCATAAATTTGTATATTGTTCCACTTTGCATTATCTCAGATATCTGAAGGGAAGTACCAAAATAACACAGACCATAAAACGGTGGATTATTCTATTGAGGTCTCAAAAATTTACAGATACTTTACATCAATACGGCAAAATAATGAAATATCTTTCAGCCAACAGCATCGATCCTGTGGATGATAAAAAACTTACCATGGTAATACTTCAGTGCATCTTTGTAAACCTTGAACAAAAGAAACATTAACTAAAATATGAATATTGAAAAACAATCCACATTTATATATATATATAAATCATTAGAAATAAAGGACAAAACAAAACCTGCTGAAAGTGAGATGTCATAACTATTTAGCCACTGGGGGGAGGAGGTAAGTTTTCAAAAAATTTAAGGCTTTCGTCCCCATTTATCAGAACCCATAAAATATGCCTCAGCTGGACTACCTATGTTCTCTTTTTGACATTCCTAAATTTTAGTTAAAATAGGCAAAACGAGAAAAATATCACAATGCAACATGTGGAAAGAAAAACCTAAGATCTAATAAACAGTTTATTAGATCTTAGGAAAAACATATAATTAAACTCAGTGTCTTATATAAAACCCCTCTTTTTAGTTTTAACATAAATCATACCATTTGAATGGAAGATCCTGGCAACACATCATGGAACTGATTAAGAAGCAGCAGTTTCCACAGTCTCTCTAGCTCATCACTAGGATAGTTGTAGTCCACATTGTTCTTCTTGTGAAGTACCAAGGCCAGGGTATTGGATAACTCAGCATTTTGAAGAAGAAATTCACACCTCCTGTTCTTCTCCTTAGTCTGAATATCAAAAAGAGTTTTAGTTTTAGTACATGTACATATAAATAAAAATTGTAATTGCTTTGTCCTATATACATCTGTAAAAGCACATATTTAATTATTTCAATAATTTTTGCATCATGCACAAATGATCAGAAGTATAAAACACATGACAAACAAGCCATTTTCTATTTGGAATTTGTACTGCCTTGAGATAATAATGAGCCTAGCTACCTTGGCTTGAGTGGTGTAGGTGCCATTGTGTAACTCCAGGTACAGCTCACCAACCCATTTACACAGGTTATCTGACTCAGCGCTCTCAACTTGCTGGAAAAATTCACCGGGGGTAGCCATTTTCACTCTGCAACACAGTTGTGGACATCATTTTTCAGCAAATTTATTTAAAAGGAAATCAATAGAAGACATAAATTCTAAATTAGTACATACTATCACAGCATACTTATTTCTGAGGTGTTTCTCTGTAAATGGTAATATATGGGGGCATAACAGTGAACATCCAATAAAGCATTTGTTAAAAACATGTTATATTCACGGATGAATACCTTAAGCATATACCCTTTTGTGATGAAACTTACTGATGACAATTACAAGTGTACACTTACTTAGGGAGGCCATCAATATCCTTCAGTCTGAGCAGACTTTCTACCATGTCTTCCCTAAATTGCAATACGATGACAAAAAATAATGTAGTTTTGCTGATTTTTGCCTTTAAAAAACAACACGGGAGCTCATATGCCATTGCCATTTACACATGAAAAAATTAATTAATTATACCTTAGTTCATTCAACCATTACAAATTCTAATTATTGTAGATATATAACAGTACAAGAAGCAATGAAATAATAAAAACTTTCTCATAAATTAGAACAATCACTGATTAGAGTTACTGACACTAAAAGTCTAAAAAAAAAGTTAAGTGTTAAAAAAACAGGGAAACTGATGCTACTTCTACATACGTTGGTCCTTGCCCTCCATCACCAAAACCAAACAAGTACATACTACAGTTACACCGGCCCTTGTCTAGAAAGTTATTGACTGTCTTCAGCAGCTGAAAAATGGAGACTTATTGATCTTTTTTTTTTTTTTCAAAAAGAATATGAGGATGGCACATGTACAGGTATGATTCTTATAACACAAAGATAAGAATTTACAAATTTTAATAGTCTGAAGCACATTATACCAGTAAACATCTTTACTTGATGAGGTGCATGCGTTTTTATAGATGAAACATATATATAAAGCACCACATACATTTGTATGAGTTACATGCAGAAGGTACAAGTGGGGACATATTTGGATTCTGAACATGATTCTGAAGATTATTGTGACTACAATGAGCTTAAGCACCAATCTAATTTCCCACATTGTTAACACATGCACCATTGGTCACAATATCAGCCAGGCCTAGACTAGCATTTTAAGACAGTGAAGGTGCAAGATAACTGCATTACCTGATGCAGAAAACTTGTATTCACATAAAACATAATTTTAATTTAACACCTCTCCAAAGCAAATTATGTTTCATTTTAGTGCAAACGCCTCCTCTATATACATGTACCTCCTCTATCTTCCCTGTCATATGGTAAGAATCCCCTGGGGGAAAATGAGCAAGGACTTTACTGCTGTCCAAACCTTCCCACCAAAATGTATGATGCTAAAATTTAGGCAGCTAAATGTTACTTTAAAATGTTAAATATTGGTTAGTGCCTAAGGTATAACTAACTAGTATAATACTATATTAGTATACCACTATATTCCAGCATATGTAATAAAGGTAGTAGTCCATGCACCAGTCCCTGAAAGGAAATAGGAAAAAGTGATGACTTTTCAATACAAAACAATGCTGCTTCTTCTGGATACTTGTATGTGCTGTGTTTATCAGTAAACAGAATACTACATCTTTGCTTTCCCATAACAGTGTTGAGATAAAAAACAAAAATGTAGTTGCTTGTTTGATGAATACAAGCACAAAGCATCCTCGGGTCAAGCACACAGTGTCCATGCAAGAATCCACATTTCACCTGTTAGTACATTCAAAGTATGTCCTGGAAAAATCATACGTCCAGTTTTACCTCTTCAATCTTGCCCTTCATCCCATAGCTATCACCAGGGGGGAAATGGGCTAAAACCTGACTGCCATCTAGCCCTTCCCACCAAAACGTGTGATGCTAGAAGAAATGATGCACCGTAGACACTTAGAGTACCAGTAAATATTAAGCATGCTTGCATATATTTAAGTATTATTAAAAGTTAAATATGAATGAAAATTTTTGCAATTTTCTCACATTTAAACAATTCATATAATCTACTTACTCAATGGCATATTTACATAAATAACACTTTAAGAAGCACATTGTGATGTTGTTTTTGTAATTGCTATTTAAATGAATGAGTAAGATTACTAAAATACAAGCATTATAAAACATTAACTAACTGGGAATTTGTTAACCAGGTTCCAACTCATTTTCTGAGTGAGGAATCTGCTGATGCCACAAGACTTCATTATTTGAGGGAGCTGTGCTGAATAGCCAAATGTGTCAGGCAGCCAAAACTGAAAAAAAAAAAGATGAAATTGAAAGATATAAAAAAAAACTTCATTGCCACACTAGTGAATTAAAGCTCTTGATATAATTTATTTTTGAAACCAGAAAAATAAACCCTTAAAGTATCAAACTTTTAATGTGAGACAATCTTCACCTCCTCACAATGCACTCCAAATTCTTGTTGGAAGAAGTGTTGACCGTACAGAAACTGTCTGATGAAGGCTTCCCCACTTGGAATTAGACCATCCTGCACAGAAAAACTCAGAATTATATCTAACAGACAGACAGACAGATGCACACATGTACGCACACACACACACACACGATATTCGATATTTTAGGTAAAGTTTATATTTTCCGCAAGTAAGGTTTATATTTTCTTCAAGTTCTGCCAGGACTAGTTGCAGAAACTTATTTTAAATGGTTCTATATGGTTTATCAGCAGCTTTAACAAATAGAATTTTATTCTTTCTAAACTTACAGCCTTCCACAAAGTTCAAGTTACTTAATTTCCCAAATGAAAAGTGTACTTACAGGCCTGTAGCCAGGGGGGGTTCGGGGGGTTCGAAAGAACCACCCTTTTTGATGGGAAAAGGTCCACTCTGGGTAAAATTTGATCTATGTACTTGAGGATTTAAGGGTAAAAGGTCCACTTTTTCAGAAAACGAATCCCCCTTCTGAAATTGCTGGCTACGGGCCTGACTTACCATTTCAACCCATGTTCCACCAACAGGGACAAATCTGCCTTCCTTCACATAGTGTTTGATTCTCTCAAATAAATCTGGATAATTATCTTTTACCCATTGAAACTGCTGTGCCTAGAAATGAAGGAGATACATGCATGTAAATCTACAGTTGGTAAATTTCTTGTTACTCTTTATTACTGTCAATTGCAAAATATGGAAGCTAGTCTCCTTAAACTTGGGACCTATGACCTTACACCCATTTAAACACACCTGGGAGCAGGCAAAGGTAAGCTGGGGGTAGGAATCCATCAGAGATACTGTAGATGACCAGCTGCGGGCACACTTTCTGATGGTTTCTGCATATGGCCACAACCAGGCTGAAATATCACAACACAATAACTTGCACCATGCAGTAATACTGAAAACAGTATATGTGATACATATTTTATCAGCTACCCCTGTTTGTCAGTCATAGCACAATGTTGGCATGAAAAAAACAAATGGATATTGTATCAAAATACTGAAAGCAAGTTTCTTAACAGGCTTTTGACACATGTAGCAGTTCACATGGTCTTTCATCTTACTTGTAAGTTATGTACTCCTACCTGGTACATGTACCATATGTAACTTCAGATCTTCAGTTATGGTCTTCATAATATATATGTTATATACTAAGTACAGGACATTACCTTTAAACATTTTTGGTTGTTCCCATTTTTTCTTGTATTCCATAGTCACAAATATAATATATGAGTACCTGAATCAATATGACAATGCCCTGTTGCATAAATTGTGTGCTGGCTATCGCCATTCTTTTGAGCAAAGAACCTTTGAGCAATGGAATTCACACTGAAAAGTTTATAGATACGGTAAGATTTTTTATAAACTTGCACAGGAAATAAGAGCTATATATGGCAGTTTATGATTTCAAGTAAGTATTTATAAGCTTTTATTATTCATACTTTAAGTAATAAAATAATTTAATAAGAGCAATACTCCCTCTTGTGATATGACAGCATGCTTATGAGAGTGACATTTTGTATATTCAAACAAAGAAGTTTTTGGCCTTACTTTCCAAAGGTTGACTTGTCAAAGACATCACAGGTGTTGATCATGTCATTGGCAGTGTGAAGTGCTTGATAGCCACGATTGCTGTTCTCAGGAAGATGCTGAAAGTATTATTATTGTCATAACTTCTCTGCCTTTTATTCTCTCTCCATACACATTCATGAATACATACTGACAGACTCCCAAAGCTAATAGTTAAGTGAAAGCAAAAGGATGACAACATAAGGCAGGGATATATTTGAAATTCAAAACCAATCAAATAAGCTGTGCAGAATACTGGAAGGCATGAGAGACAGACAGACAGACAGACAGAGAGAGAGAGGAAACCAACCTTTACAATGTCATACAGTATTTGAAACTGCTGCAAAAGATTGTACACATCTCTGTCAAACACAGCAATGTGGGCTTTTGAAAGAGTAAAATACTTCTTCGGATCTGGTGGATTTATCAGTCCACCTTGTCCCTCGCCCAGCTCTCTGTTACATGCCATCTCTATGTAGTACACCTGGCTACAAATAAAGGGAAAATTCTGATTATGTGTACATTTTACAGACATTTCTTTTGATTCAGAAATAGAAAACTTGAAGGTTATATTTATGTTTATATTTACTGTATAAACGCTTGGATAACAAAGGTGTGAATGAATGGTTGCGTTATTACGGCAGTATTCTAAGGGAGCACTGATGAACAACATACATTTTACTTCACATAGTAAAATTTACCCTGTAATTCATATCTGAGGGGTGCCAACTTTTAATTTTCAAAATTCCATAAGTGAATCTTCAATAAACAAGTGCCTTATTTATATATTGATCTCAATTCAAGAATTAAATCTGAAGCCAAGGGTACAGAAATTGGGATCAACATATCAATACCTTACCAGTAATTACCCTCTCTAATCACACAAACAACTCAAAGTTGTCACGAACAACATTTCAAAATTCTTACCGCAGATTGCTCTTTCCCAGATTTTTGGTGATGATGAAATATTCTCTGTCTTCTCCACTGAGCCCCTAAAATGGAGAAAAATAACAATTCATATTGGCCAGAAATATGCCCTGCTTTTGCACTGGTATGTCTGTTAAAACATTAGAAATGTACATGATCAAGCCATTAACTGAGTCAATAACTGTAAACATTATTATACACATTTACCTAAAATAAAGATCGAGATAAACAGTGTAAAATGAAAATTATACTACGCTGAAAAAAATGAACAATACATGTGATACTAACCTTTTTTTTTCAAATAAAACTAGCTGATATGAGTTTCTAAACCCTATATAGTACTCAAAAGTAAAATTCTACCTCAATTAAACTCAAATCCCAGTACCTGAAGCACTTTTCCATCTTTCCAAACCATGGCCTCAGATGCAGAGTTCCAGATGAGATGGACCTCCTGTCCTGTCCACTCTGATGGAATATCTATGTCCAGTCTAAACCAGTGAGTTGACCATCTGTGGATGTGTTGATGTATTCATACATTATATATAGCAGAGTTGAAACAGAAAGCAAAGGGATGTACACTGTATTTTGCACCTAACAAATTTACAAAGAGTATAGCCATTAAGCTGATGTTAATCAGTCAGGAAAAAAAGGTATTCGTAACATAATTAAAATTGTTTACTTGGCCATCTCTGTAGAAATAATTCAACCCCTATACCTTGACTATCTATCTATCTATGTCAAGTTAAGGCAAATGAAAAAAAAAAAAAAACAGCAAATATACATGTACCATGATAAGGAGCTATAGTTAAGAATTGTTTTCTACTATTAAAAAAACATAATATAGAGGATAATCTATTTCTAAAAATGAAATACTTTAACCTGGAATCCAGATAAGTTAAATTTCACAACATAAGGTTGATTTCACAACAAAAGAATAAAATCTAGAAGCAGAACAACAGACAGCATGCATGTTATCACATCAATTTCAATATGACAATGAGACAAAAAACACAAAACAAAACAAAGCAGTCTGTGAAATACACAAGAGCTGACAATTCGTTCTCTTTAAATCTCCAAATCTACACTTACGTTGGGCCATAGCTGCCTCCCACCTTGCCTTCCTCATATTCTCCATTCACAGCCACATGGTATGGCACTCTGGCACAGTCAGGTACCTTGTGATGTTTTATGCCTGTAAGCTCTGTTTTCAGGGGATATAACCTGAAGGGCACACATTTGGTAAGCTGACATATTGATTCTTTTATTCTAGATTTAATTTAATAAATTTTTTGACATACCTACAGGTGAATAAATCAATCAAAACCAATCTATACTGAACCGCTAAACCACTTTCATGTATATCTCATTTTTGGCACGTGTGTGTGTGTGTGTGTGTGTGTGTGTGTGTGTGTGTGTGTGTGTGTGTGTGTGTGTGTGTGTTTATTTATTTATATAGGTTTATACTGAGAACTTCCTGAATTACATAAAAATGATATATAACAATAAAAAAATGTGAGTTATAAAATAATAATATGAGTTAATAAAAGCATTTAAAACAGTTTGGACCAATATCTTTAAAAGAACTATAAAAGGCTATTCATTATAGTAAGCTTTTAAAACCAAAACAATATGAATGAAGTAAAGAAAATGTTGCTTCTTCATTAATGAAGGTGTAAATAAAGTGTACAAAAGACTTAAACCTTGAAACATTCTAGATACAAACCTTCCTCTTAGATTGACATCTGTGAAGTATATTGGAGATATAAACTTGTCTATCCTTTCTAGAGTGGTCCTTTTGTTCTTCACCACATACTGCTCCATTGGTGTTTCTTAAAGAATGTCTCCTTCTGGGGTCTAAAAATGTATAAAATTATAATAATTTCTTTGTTTACACATTATAGTCTAAAAATACATTATCACTGTGAGAGAGTACTAACAAAAAGAATTATCAAAGTGGAAAAATATACATATGCATTGGTGAAAATAGCCACTTCCACACTGAAAAATTCTCATCAAAACTTATACCTTCTAAGGCATCATATCTCTCAAATTCTTACTTTAAATTTCTAATAATTATTTTGGTGCTCCTTTTGAGAATAATTTTCAAATTATAACAAAGTGCTATTCTATCAGTTATAAGAAGAATTATTAAATAAAACACATTTGAGATGTACCAGTACGTTGTACTGGTACCTATATATTTTGGCAATGTGCAGTACATATTGGCAGATCACATCAGCATATCCTACCAACCTCCAGTAAACTATTACTTGCAAAAAATTTCACTCGGCATAATCCATTTAATCTATTTGTGTTAGAAAAAAATTTTTTTAATTGGGGAACTTATAAGTACCTTTGCTTTCCTTATTGCTCAAGTCATTAACTATTTTTGAACTAGATTGTACATAGCTGCAATCCTCTTTAGCTACTGGGGAGATGTAATAATGCCAGTACATGTAATATAACCAAGTGAAAATTGAGTATAACAATTTCTTGATTATGACATAAAATTTGATGAGAAATGCAATAAGCAGTTTGACAACCTAAATAGGGAACAATGCACTGCATCAAATAAGATCTTCCTCATCTCTGTCATGTTTTATTCATTCAACTATTTCTGTCATTCATAATCATGTGCAATAACCATCATATTAACCCACTGGGTAATAATGCAAGTAATATAAACATGTGAGAATTGAATATAACACCTTTCATGATTAGGAAATGATGAAAAACGCCATAAGCAGTTTGGTGATTTTACGAAAGAATACATGTTTCACTGAGTAACATCTGAGTTGGTTTTATTTCCTACCTGTACAGGAACCCTCTGGCCCTAGCCATGATCTCTTTCTTCTAGTTCTACATGTTATTCCATGGCCAGCATCATTTTATAATACTAATAATATCTATTTTAAGTCTAAAATCCATAAAATGTTCATTAGATTTTACATGTTTAAAAATAGGATTAATATATATATACATACAGAATGCTGTATCTCACCATATGTTTTTAACCTATAGTTTTGGGGTTTCCCAGTAAAAGGTTGTTACCAGGCCTCCAGGTTCTTTTAGGGTTATTATGTTTAACCAAATCAGTAACATAAGATGGAGCTAGATTATAAAATGCAGCACATGTAAAAACTAAAATAATTATTTTAAATAAATCTAGCCCGAACTGGGAACCAGTGCAGAGGAACATCTCGAGGACACACAAAGTCAACAGAAATGAGATTGTCGAAGATAAGCATTCTTTGCAAGTCCTAGAAACTTTAGATTATGTCATGGACTTTTAGTTATGTCAACATATACATGTAGGACACTTAATTTTAAAAATGTGAGTATACAATACAATACAATGAATTTTATTTCATGTCGGGTATAAATTGAAAGGAAACATTAGCTTTACGGCTATTCGCCGACTGGGTAAGGACAAAAACATATCTACAATAATGCAATATTTACACATGAAGTCTAGTAAGATATTAAAAGGAAAATCTTTCTACAAAGCGTATACAAAACATATGAAGAACATTCTACAAAGAGTATACCAGAAACACATGTAATCTATTAAGATAATAATTGAAAAAAAAAATCTTTCTATGGGAAATGTGCAAAATGCTATACTTAGATCAATTGTGAAAAACAGACAATTCTACATACAAATGCTCACTGGTACAGATATACAAAATAATTTAAATATTTCATATTATTACACAGTTTCACTAAAAGCATATAAAGGTTACACAGGCTACAATTGCATTTGGGTCTTTCCCAAAGCCATAAAAGTGATTTAAACTCATTTGAATTGATGCTTTGCTTTAAGTCATTTGAGAGATCATTCCATATTTTTGGCCCAAGATATGATAAGGATTTTTTGCCGTATGTCATTGTATTAAATCTGGGTATATTTAGAGTCTTTTCTCCTCTAAGTTTGTAGCTTGTTATTCTTTCCTGGAAAAGGTCGGAGATGTAGGAAGGTGCAAGTCCATGTATAGCTTTGTAAACCTCAAGTGCAAGCATACGTAGCCTGTTGTAAGTGCAGAGTGCTGAGGCCTGACGTATTTAAAAGCTCATCGTAACTGCTTGTGTGGTTGTCGTAGACAAATCTTAGACCCCTTTCCTGTATCTTTTCTAATTTTTTCATATTTCCCTCACCACAAAAGTGCCATACTAACGGACAATAATTAAAGTTTGATAATGTAAAGTGCCTGAAAATGGCAAGCCGACTGGGGACATCTAGATGAGCTGAAAGCCTTTTCAGAGTATTTAATTGACATGCTGTTTTAGAACATTATTCTGAGATGTGTTTGTTGAAAGTCAGTCTTGAGTCAAAGTAAATCCCAAGGAGCTTGACCCAAGTTCTGTTTTCAGCAATTTTCCATTGAAAGATAGTTGCTCATTACTGTGGTCGACTCATGTTTTGCCAATAAAAATAGCTTGAAATTTTTCAGGGTTCGCTGCCATCTCATTCTCATTTGCCATCTCAGTTTATAGCATTTTGTGCATACAAAGACTTATGGCATTAAGAGAGGCTTCATGTTTGTTTAAATTTTGGGAAAGACATAGAGGTATTACTCAATGTTTTAAACATCAGGCAGAACTTGTCAACAAAAATGACTTGGGCGAGAGTGAACACTGTTATAAGGCCATTGAACAGAATTTTATCAAATCTGTAAAACTAGGTTTGTCATTCTTGAAAGGTGCTGGTTATAATAAAACACAAAGGGGAAGTTCTGTAGACCATCAAATATTAAATATATTATCCATTCCAAGAGCTGAGATTGATTATTATTCTTTCATTGTGGTTTTTGATGAGATAATTGAAAGTAAAGTCAGTGACCATTCCATGAAAATGTCTCGATTGCTGCACTTCAAAAGTGCCATACTAACAGACAATAATTAAATTTTGATAATGTGAAGTGCCTGAAAATGGCAAGCCGACTGGGAACATCTAGATGAGCTGAAAGCCTTTTCAGAGTATTTAATTGACATGCTGTTTTAGAACATAATTCTGAGATGTGTTTGTTGAAAGTCAGTCTTGAGTCAAAGTAAATCCCAAGGAGCTTGACCCAAGGTTCTGGTTTCACCAATTTTCCGGTGAAAGATAGTTGCTCATTACTGTGGTTGACTCATGTTTTGCCAATAAAAATAGCTTGAAAATTTTCAGGGTTCGCTGCCATCTCATTAGAGGAGAACCAGTTTATAGCATTTTGTGCATACAAATACTTATGGCATTAAGAAAGGCTTCATGTTTGTTTAAATTTTGGGAAAGACATAGAGGTATTACTCAATGTTTTAAACATCAGGCAGAACTTGTCAACAAAAATGACTTGGGCGAGAGTGAACACTGTTATAAGGCCATTGAACAGAATTTTATCAAATCTGTAAAACTAGGTTTGTCATTCTTGAAAGGTGCTGGTTATAATAAAACACAAAGGGGAAGTTCTGTAGACCATCAAATATTAAATATATTATCCATTCCAAGAGCTGAGATTGATTATTATTCTTTCATTGTGGTTTTTGATGAGATAATTGAAAGTAAAGTCAGTGACCATTCCATGAAATTGTCTCGATTGCTGCACTTCACATCTGGTCTGGTTTAACGCTTTCTCATTGGTGGCCTCAATTGCTATACAAAGGCACAGGAAATATTGAAGAACAGATTTGGAAATGATCATTTACTTGCGCAAACGGTCATTAACAACTTAAGGTTTGGCAGGATAATATCCAACCCAGATAACTGAAGAAATTAGCTGACTATTTGTAAGTTGTGATTGTTAGATTAGAAACATGCATGCACCTGGGAGGTTAGAATTATATGCACTGATTGAAAATGTATCTCCAACTTTCTGTATGTAAGTGATAATAAGAAATTTATTTACAAGCAAGGAAATATATTTTCATACAAGTTGTTGAGTGTAGGTCACTGCTACAATGTAGTACAATATATGTATAAAACTATTTCCAAACTCAAAGAGGACCATAATTTGAATACAAAATTTCTCAGCTTTTTGAGATCATATTCTATCCTAAGTGGTATTATACTGTCTTATTTCTGTAATTTATTGTAATTAATCCCCCTGGTGGTGCTGCATTAGATTACCATAAACTATCTATCATCCAACGGTTGATCAACTTGAGACATAAGCTGCTTGAAATTATTATGTATCTGCCTCAATTACCTGTTGACCTATAGCCACTCTTCTTCCTATTTACAGCTTGGGATGAATTCTACTTAATAAGTGTTCTAAAGAAGGATATTTTGTAATTCTGTTGATGTGTTTCCTTCTAATAACTGCAGCAATAATCTGTATCAATAAGGATATGAGTTAATGAATGGTATAAAAGCTCAGCAAACGCTGCTCTGCATCACTTTTATGTGCCACTGCCACGCAGAGATTTCATTTAGAAAAAAACATGATGATCATACACCTCACTATATGTGCACTGATACTAGTTCAGCCAACAGCAGTCATGCTCAATATGGTTCAAGAAAATGGTCAATCCGATGGATCCACAGAAAAGTCACCAAATCTAGACATTTGGACACCTGTGGGAATCAGGACGGAGTCACCATATGTTGATGGAATGTCAGAAGCAAACACAATAGAACCATCGGCAGTTGTACAAGGGTTGCCCACTATTGAACATAGAATGCACAAAGGTACCACACAAGAGTCACCAACTACTGAAGGTAAAATGCATGAGGGAGTCACACAACAGTTACTAACTACTGAAGGTAAAATGCATGAGGGAGTCACACAAGAGTCACCAAGTAATGAAGATAAAATGCACCAGGGAGTCACACAACAGTTACCAACTACTGAAGGTAAAATGCACGAGGGAGTCACACA